GCCCCCAGGTAGCCATTATCACAGAACTGTCGAAGGTGGTGTACCGTCTCTTCTAGTTCCTCAGCCTTCTGCTCCCACAAATAACACCTGATTGACTTCCTGATTTCTTTGCTGCTCATTCAGCATTGCACTCTCTCATTCATAGAAATTATTTAAATGAATGCACGCCTAAGCTTCCCAGGGATGGGCACAGCAGCCGGAGGCCCCAGGCCATGGGACAGGTGCCCACCCCCTTGGTGGATTTCAGCAGACACCTGGGTTTGTGGCTGGAACTGGGTGCAAAGCCGGCAGCCCCCAGTCAAGAGTGTGGAGGTTGGGGAGAACCTCCTAGTCCTGGTAATAACCAGCTGAAATGGGGGCTGTGCATTCTTGGTCTTTGAAAAGCAGTTAGACTGGGGCTCTCTTCGCCGTCAGTTTCCTCCTGCAAGAGCAAGGAGGCATGACCTGCTTATGTGCTTGAGGCCCCAGAGAATAGACCCATTCACAGGATGCCTGGGTGACTCTAGTCCTATTTTCAGCTCATAAGGCATCACTGCAGCCATTCACTGCCGCTTCTGTAGCCCGTCTTGGTGGATCCCATGACCCCTCCCTAAGTGGGTTATTCAGTGGGATCCAAAGATGGCCAGGTCCTTCACGCCGCACGGCTGCTTTCACAGAAGGTAGATTGCAGTAGCTGGAGGGCTCATTCCTCTGGAGTCCATGGCTCTCAGACCTTGAACCCCTGATTCTCACCTCCCATTTTCCCATCTGTAGGTTGCGGTCAGTTGGGGTCACAGTCCCCACCAGGCACTTGGCTGGTACCCAACAGGCCATGACTGGGGCTGGGGCTACAATGTCAGCCACCCAAAATAAGGCACTGGTGGAACTGGGGCTCCTGTGGGCCTCTGTGGTTTAGAAACTTTTTTTTTCTTTTTTTTGGAGACGGAGTCTTGTTCTGTCGCCCAGGCTGGAAGGCAGTGACATAATCTCGGCTCACTGCAACCTCCACCTCCTGGGTTCAAGCAATCCTTCTGCCTCAAACTCTCAAGTAGCTGAGACTGCAGACATGCACCACCACACCTGGCTAATTTTTGTATTTTTAGTAGAAATGGGGTTTCACTACGTTGGCCAGGCTGGTCTGGAACTCCTGACCTCAGGTGATCACCCACCTCGGCCTCCCAAAGTGCTGGGATTACGGCCATGAGACACTGCGCCCAGCCTAGAAATATTTCTTCATGAGTTGATTTGAAACGCTTTACACCAAGCGGGTAGTGATGGGAAGTCCCTCTCAGCCCTCACTGCCACAGCCTGGCAGGGCTTTTGGGCCACATTCAGTGGCTCTTGGAGCTTTCTCAAGTGCTTTCCAGTCTCCAGGGAGAGCCCCTCCACCTTCCGGTGGGGGCTAAGCCCCATCCTCACGGGAGGGAGCTCAGGGCGGCCCCGATGAAAGCCAGATGCAGGAGAGCTTCTGAGCAGAGAAGAGAGCACACCCCCAAATTCCCCACTCCCAATAACCCGGTCAGGCCGGCCAAGAGCTGTAATAATCACTCTGGCCTTCGGGATCTTGGCTGCATGGGGCTTTGGGGAGAATCTGGTCTGGATTCCTTATCTTACAGATGGGGAAACAAGTCCAGGCACACAGAGAGATCTGCTCCAGGTCAGGCTTCGGGGCAGGGTCTGGAGTGGCCAGGGTGGGTGCTTTACCCGAGGGAAACCCAACACTGTGAGTGGCTGGGTGGGTGGAACCCAGTCCCACCCCATCCACAAGGGATTGTGGGATCCTTGACCTTAAAGGACACCGATTATTTTGTTCTTCCTTCTGTCCCCAAGAGGAGCTCCTCTTAATCATCCTAAGCTGTCCACAAAAGGCTCCATTTCAAAATTCTCCATGAAAAACACTGATAGGATTTCCAATCCCTATCAGAAGCTGTGGCTGTCCATGGCGGGTAAAGAGCAGTGATCCCTCCTCTTTTGTTTTTTTTCTTTCTTTTTTCAGTTTTGGGTTTTGGTTTGTTTTTCTGAAATGGAGTCTCACTCTGTCACCCAGGCTGGAGTGCAGTGGCACAATCTTGGGTCAAGCCTCCACCTCCCAGGTTCAAGTGATTCTCCTGCCTCAGCCTCCCAAGTAGCTGGGATTACAGGCACCTGCCACCAAGCCCCGCTAATTTTTTGTATTTTTAGTAGAGACAGGGTTTCACCATATTGGCCAGTGTGGTCTCGAACTTCTGACCTCAGGTGATCTGCCCACCGTGGCCTCCCAAAGTGCTGGGATTACAGGCATGAGCCACCGAGCCCAGCCTGCCTTTTTTCATTTTTGAGACAAAGTTTCTGTTGTCCAGGCTGGAATACAGTGTCATAATCACAGCTCACTGCAGCCTTGACCTCCTGAGCTCAACTGATCCTCTCATCTCAGTTTCCCAAATAGCCAGGACCACAGATACACGCACCACCCGCCCCCGCTCCATCTAATTTTTATCTTTTGTAGAGATAAGGTCTCCCTATGTTTCTCAGGCTAGTCTCAAAACTCCTGGGCTCAAGCTGTCTTCCCTCCTTGGCTTCCCAGAGTACTGGGATTACAGGTGTGAGCCACTGTGCCTTGCCTGGTCCCTCTTCTTTTAAAGTTTAGGGTTTAATAAATTTTTAGTAGAGATGAGGTTTCACCATGTTAGCCAGGCTGGTCTCGAACTCCTGACCTCAGTTGATCTGACCTCCTCGGTTCATTATCAAACTTAAGGTTCATTCTTTTATAACAGCTTTATTGAGCCGTAATTCATATACCATACAATTCACCCATTGAAGTATCAATTCGTGGCCTCTCATGTGGTGAGATCTGAGCAACCATCACAATTTTAGAACATTTTCATCATCCCAAAAGGAAACCCTGTACCCATAAGCAGCCTCTTTCCATTTTGCCATTCCCCACCCATAGTTTGGTCTTCAGTCATTGATTTTCGTATTTTTGAGACACGTTGGTGAATGTTAAGGAACTTTAATCCACTTTTTACTGGTAGGATGGAGTTTTGTGGGTTTTCTACGTTTTGGGGGCTGACTTTCTTTTTCTCACAAAGGAGTCTGAAAGTCAAGAGGAAACCGTGGATAAAGCTGCAGGTCCACTGGCCTTAGGGCTTTCCATCTGCAGAACAGCATGGCAGGCCCCCGGAAGGTCCACGTGTGCTCACTCGCACCTGGTTTCAGGAAAGAAAGCAGAGAGGGGGTCTGCTCTGCGGTCAGGGCCTGCTACACACCCCCCACCCCCATCCCCACCCCCATGCAGCCTCCCAATGCTCGGAAGCCTTGGAAAGTATGAGCTTCAGACTCCTGAGATCTGGAGCAGACAGCTCATCTGAGATGCAGCTGAATGAACACAGCCTCCTTTGTAAGAGGGCAAGGCTGGGCCCTCTGGGAACACACGACAGAGGTGCCCTGAGGCTGCAGCTGGAAGCACTCTGTAACCCTGGGGCCTGATGCAGCTCTACCCACGTTCCCTGGCTGTGAGAGGGCCCCATGTGCCTGGGGCAGTGGCAGGGAGAAGGCCCAAGCAGCTCTGGGGATCAGCTGCAGCTGGGCTGGCATTTCCAGTTTCCCGAGGCCTGAGCTTGGCCTGGGCCCGCAGCCTCACTGTCAAACAGACAGAAGCACAGATACCCAGGGTTCCTCTGGCTCGATGTGGTACAGAAACGACAGCTTCCGACCGTGGGGCCAGCCAGCCCTGTCACGTGTGATTAAAGACCTGGGTTTGTCATGTCTTCATTTGCAGCACCGTTAGTGGCGAAGGGCGTGGACGCTGGGCCCAGGCTGCCTGCATTCAGGTCCCAGCCTTTAACCTTGGTACACTGGGTGTCCTCTCTGTGCCTGTGTATCCTCAACTCTTTTTTTTTTGGACAGAATCTCGCTCTGTCACCCAGGCTAGAGTGCAGTGGTGTGATCTCAGCCCACTACAGCCTCTACCTCTTGGGTTCTAGTGATTCTCCTGCCTCAGACTCCTAAGTAGCTGGGACTACAGGCATGGGCCACTGTGCCCAGCTAATTGGTGCATTTTTAGTAGAGAGGGGGTTTCACCATGTTGGCCAGGCTGATATTGAACTCCTGGCCTCAAGTGATCCGCCCACCTCAGCTTCCCAAAGTGCTGGGATTACAGGTGTGAGCCACCATGCCCAGCTGGTCTTCAGCTTTAAAACAGACGTGAAAACAGTATCCGAGATCAGCTGGTAACAGAAAATGGTTCCTTTCTTGAAACCTGTGTGGGATCTGGTGCTGAGGTGCGTGCCGGGAAGAGCTGGCTCCCAAGTGCTCTGACTGACAGGCCCCAATACAGCTCCTTGCCAGGACAGGCAGTTACCAGTGGGGAAGAGCAGGGATGGCCTGGGTTCGAATCCTAGCTCTGTCTCCTCCCAGCAGGGCAATCCCTGGCAATTCATTTAGACTCTGTCCCTCAGTTTCCTCATCTGTAAATGGGGATGAAGGTAATGGTGTCTCTGTGACTATTCAGTTGTTCCTAAGAAACCACAGTGAGGATCAAATGAATGAGTGTTAGCAGAGGGCTTGCCCAGGTGCCCAGCCCAGGTGGGCTCCCGGTGGTGGCTATTCACATGCTAAATTTAAAATGAAAATGAAAGCATTGCATTTTTAATTGGTTGGTTGGTTGGTTTGTTTCTGAGACGGAGTCTCGCCCCATGCAGGCTGGAGTAAAGTGGCGCTATCTTGGCTCATTGCAACCTCCGCCTCCCAGGTTCAAGCAATTCTCCTGCCTCAGCCTGCCAAGTAGCTGGGATTACAGGCACATGCCACCACGCCTAGCTAATTTTTCTGTATCTTTAGTAGAGATGGGGTTTCACCATGCTGGCCAGGCTTGGTCTCGAACTCCTGACCTCGTGATCCACCCACCTCGGCTTCCCAAAGAATTGTTTTTTTACTGATCTGAATGAATACTAATGAGTGATCATGTTGCCACCATGGTTAGCATCGTTTTCTGAACACCCACCAAGCTGCACTGACCTGCGTTTCTCTGTCTGTCTCCCCAGCCGAGCCGCTGCCGCTCATGGATTTGTGCCGTCGTTCGGTGCGCCTGGCCCTGGGGAAGGAGCGCCTGGGGGAGATCCACACGCTGCCGCTGCCGGCTTCCCTCAAGGCCTACCTCCTCTACCAGTGACGTTTGCCGTCAGACCGCCAGCTCAACAACCACCTGGTGCCACTTCACTGAGCCGCCCACTGCTGAGGCCGCCACACCCTGCACCTGGGACCGGCGTCCACAGCCATAGACAGAGGTCCCTGGTCTTGCCCTCATCCTCCGTGGCTGCCTCCATGGGACAAGGACCGATTCCAAAACAGACTCCTCCTTCCCCCTTCCCAACACCGGCAGAAGACAGCGTCCCTGCATGCCGTCCATATACCACCCCTCCCTGAAAAAAGACACAGAGAATAAACTCCTACGAAAGTCCTACGCTGAGCTCCGATCTGCTCTCAGGGGGGGACGGGTGCTCCCCACATCTCCATGAGAAGGCTGCAGCCACCTGGGGCTTCCAGGGTGGTGGAGGTAGCAGGGGGTATCACAGCTCTGAGAACAGATGCCAGGGGTACTAAGAGGTGCTTAGACAAGGCTGGTGCCCGGCCACGGGTGCCCAGCCCAGCGGGCGCTTGCCGTGGCAGATAAAGCTCAGGATGCCAGAAACTCACCATGGACACCAAGGCAGAAACCAAGGACTGTCCGCAGGCAAATAAGCACCCAGCATCCATCCCAGCCGTCGGTGCCCCGTACCCTGTATTTATTCTTTTAACAATAACAAAAGCCATTTATTTATTCCATCTAGAAAGGAAAGATTTCAGTCACCTCTCTCTGGCTGTTCTGTGACTTTCCTCCCATCCCTGGGATGTGTGGGCCACGCCTGAGGCTCATGTGCACACCTGCCCAGGCACAAGTGTGTCTTTGGGCCCCTTGCCCTGCAGTTTCCAGGGGGCTCTGCTCCAAGTTCCCAAGCAGGCCCCTCAGGGAGGAGGAGCTTCACATGCAATCCGGGTGTCCTCGGGGCCCGTCTGGAAGTGCTGTGGCAGGTCCCCTGCCTCTCCAGGTAGCCGCTTACCTCCTGGGCTCAGACGTCTTTGCACATACATGGCTGCATTTCTTTAGTCTTCTCTGGGTCTTTTGGTGTGGGTTTGATTTTGCTTTTGCTTTTTCACTGACATTTCCCAAGTGCATCCTCAGAAGCTCTGGGTGTGCCAGAGGACCCCCAGAACCAAGAAGGGAGGGCGAGCGCATCTCCATTCCCTGAGAAGCCACGGGCAGGGCGGGACGGGGAGGCCAGGAGCAGAGTCGAGCCTCACAGAAGCCAGCACGGGTCTCTGCTCAGCACCCCTGCCGGGGCTCCAGGCCCAGGGAAACAGCCCCAGTTCATCCCAACCCCTCCCAGAGCCTCAAGAGGGGTGACTCCGCTGCCGGCAAGAGAGGGGTGCCCTGTCCCTGCAGCCCCTCCACGTAGCATGCCCAGCACCTGCCACCACCTTCGCCATTTCTTTGAGCTTGAAGTTAACTCTCTGAGAGTCTAACTTTGGTTCATTTCTGCACAGGTACAATAGATGACTTTATTTGTTTAAAATGTTTAATATATATACACATATATATATATTTGTCTGTAAGAATTGTTTTAAACAGCTGCTGTAGGGTACCGTTTTTTAAGTAAATCTTCCAGTGGAGTATATTTTTAAAGCACAATATTGGTGCCAAGACTGGGCGAGAAATGTATATTACTCCCTTATTATTCTGAGAGTTTTTTTATTTTGGAGGGGGCAGGGGACCTTACTTGTAAGACTTCTAAAGGTTCTCCTCCCTCCTGTTTGAGATGGGTCACATTCTGATGAATGTTTCACTTGTACAGATCCCAGCTTATGGCTTTGACCCAGCTGTCCCCACGGACGCTGGGTGACTCGAGCTCTCTCTGCATCTCCCACCTCCTGACGCCCCGGGACCCTCGACCCCCCCACCTTCTTTCCTACCAGCCCAGAGCCTTGTGGCTTGTACAGTTTTGAAACTTCCGTTCTATTTTATGATGGTTGATAATAGTAACCTAATAAAGGAACGTTTGTTAAAATATCAAACCACTTTGGAGTTCCTCGTTTGTGCCTCAGGGGAGGGGAAAGAGGCATGGCTGACTGTCTCCGCCTCCACTTAGTCCAACCACCTCCACAGCACACAGTTTTCAGCAGATGACAGGCCGATTCCTGCCACCCCTTGGCAGAGGTTGGATGCCAGGTGAAGCCCTAGACGGAGGAGGAGAGTCCTAGAGGGATGACCCCAGAACATCCTCATCCCCATTGCAGAAGTTCCTAAGCTGGGCAGCCCAAGCTGCAGAAACTCGCTGAACTAACAGAAAGTGATTCTGCACATTGATGAGCAGATCAGGTTGGCTTGTGGGGCTGTAGAACTTGAGTTGACCGTGGGCTTTTTAGGAGCAGAGTGTGAACTATTGTACGCATTCTCAGAGTCCAGGCTCTCGGGGAAGGAGCAGCTCCCTCATTCATCTTTGGGGCCCCTGAGGCCGAATGCACAGTGATGTTTGCTGAACCATTGCTGAATGAACTTATTCTGCTGGCCACGTGGGCAGAGCCCCCAACAGAAACTCTGGCTTAGAAGATCAATAGGTGATAAAATGACAAAAAGCAATTGACTAAGGCTGGGCGAGGTGGCTCACATCTGTAATCCTAGCACTTTGGGAGGCTGAGGCAGGTGGATCACCTGAAGTCAGGAGTTTGAGACCAGCCTGACCAACATGGCAAAACCCTGTCTCTACTAAAAATACAAAAATGAGCCAGGCTTGGTGGTGGGCGCCTGTAATCCCAACTACTCGGGAGGCTGAGGCAGGAGAATCACTTGAACCTGGGAGGCAGAGGTTGCAGTGAGCCGAGATCGTGCCATCACCCCAGTCTGGGCAACAGAGCAAGGCACTGTCTCAAAAAAAAAAAAACAAAAAGAAAGCAATTTACTAAGATGTGATCACATGTCACAGCTAGTTTCCAAAGAATTAGCAAGAGCACATTTAGCTTGCAGTGGGGACACTTCATTCTCAAGGTGTGCTGGGATCTGATAGTGCCGTGAAAAGTGCCTGGCCTGAAAGCCCGAAGTCCCTGGGCCCAAAGTCCTCTGTCCCTTTCTCTGAGAGCCTCCTGACCAGCTGTCCTCAGACTACACACATCAGCAGCACCTGGGAAGGGTTTGTAAAAATGAAGATCGCAGGGTTCCACCTGAGATGTTCCAAGTCAACACTTCTCGGGCCAGGCCCAGGAATATGCATTTCCTGAACTCCCTAGGTGACCTTGCCTGAGAGAGTTTGGACACTACTACTTGTGACAGTGTCAGCTGTTTTGCAGAGTTGCTGGGTAGTGGGAAATTATTCCATGGTGTCGGTGGGTTGGCCCAATGAGGAGCGCATGCACTCCTGAGTCAGACCTGGATTCAAATATTGGCTTTGTGGCCTTGGCTGAGCCTCTGGAAAACAGCAGTCACTGTGGTGTAGTACCTGTCTCACAGGAGGGTAGTGAAGGCACGGTGAGGCTCTCCCAACGAGCCTGGCATCTTAGTGAATGTGCAGACGAATGCTTTAAAACTCCTGCATTTCTGGAAAATGGCAGTTTCTGGGTTGTGACTTTGTCTTTAAGAATGGACCAGACGGCCCGGCAGGGTGGCTGACCCTGTGATCCCAGCACTTTGGGAGACCTAGGCAGGTAGATCACGAGATTGAGACCATCCTGACCAACAACGTAAAACCCCATCTACTGAAAATATAAAAATTAGCTGGGCGTGGTGGCAGAGACGCCTGTGATCTTAGCTACTCAAGAGGCTGAGGCAGGAGAATCACTTGACCCTGGGAGGTGGCGGTTATGGTGAGCAGAGATCTCGCCACTGCACTCCAGCCTGGGCAACAGAGCAAGACTCCATCTCAAAAAAAAAAGAATGGCCCCAGACATTTCTAAACCAGTTTACTGATAATCTTCCTTCTCAGGTAAAGTCTCCAAAGGTCAAGGTGGGTATTGGGAAGAGGGACCCCTAGATCCCTTTCCCAGATGTGGTTGGAGGAAAGGGGGGGGTCTACAATTATTTTTAGGTTGGAGTTCATGTCTGGGTTGCAGTTGGAACTCCCCTTCCTTTGAAGGGGGCAGCAGGGGAGGAGTGGGGCTGGGGTCAGGCGCTGGGGGCCAGGGGGAGGCACAGGGAAAATCAGGGCCTTTGCATTGCCAGGAGACTTCTGGGGGAGCAGGGCTTTGTGCCAAAGGGAGTGGTATTAATAAAACCATCTGTGCAGACTTGGCCCATGTGGTTGTAATTAATCCCCTGCCTTCAAGCAGGTAGCAGACTCTCAGGGCTTGGCCATAGATGGGAAGAGTCCTCCCGTCCCCACCCTTCAGCATGCAGCTTCCCTCCCGCCTTCTCCGCTCCTCAGCGAGATGAGGAATGTGGACTTTACTGAACCATAAACTATGCTGGGGGAGCTGGGGAGGGGGCCGAAGACAGAGCAATTAGTTCATGCTCCAGTCCAGACACCCAAACATGGTTGGATTCCAGCTGCAAGGAATATTTGAAATAAATGAGCTGCCCGGGGCCAGGAGTTTGCTGTGTTTTCTGTACGGGACCATGGCAACCAGGGAGGAAATCGTGAGCTAGGGACTGGGCCCTAGAGTCAACAAATGATGTCCTGGCCCAGCAAATGCAGAGGAAGCCGCTCATGGCTCGCCTCGGGTTTCTCAGGACTCAGCTGCTGGCAGGCCGGACTCGGGCCGACCATCCCCCTGGTGCACTCAGACCGTGGTGTTTTCTCCTGGGTTCTGATTTTTTTTTTTTTTTTTTTTTTTTGGTAAGAAAAAAGAAAACTAACTCTTCTCTGGAACCTTTCTTCCTGGGCCAGAGAACAGCTACTGCTGTTGCTGCCGGCCTGATAATTGTTTTCCTGGGTAGAGGAATATTCTCCATGGAAAAGCTCAGGCTGAGGGCCACTGGCTACACAGAGGTGGCACTGACCTTGTGCAGGGTGTGTCTTCCCGCTCCGCCCCAGTTGCAGCCTCTACTAGGTCTGCTTTATAGGCAGAAAAGGCAAAGGTCTCCTTCAGCTCCCTTCCCGGGTGATGTTTCGTTTGGGGGTGAACCTTGTAGCTGTCCCCAAGGATGTGTTGTATAAATGCATGTGAGTACCAGGACCTAGCTGGGGATTTCACCCTGAAGTTCACAGATGCCTCCTGCATCTGAATCACCCAGAGGAATCTGGGTAGGGAGGGGTAGCAAAATCCTGGTAAGCTTGATATACAATCAGATGGGCCTGAGACTATGCATCCTTGCACACCCTTAGATGACTCAGATAACATCGCCCTGAAGGTTGCTGGGGTGCCAGCGTTATATGCAGAGCTGCACCCATGCAGCCCTCTCTGCTGTCGCCCCATGATCCTTCAGAGTCCTGCCAGGGGCTGAGACCCAGAGAAGCTTGGAGACCACAGGTATAGAGGACTCTGTTCGAGTGGCCCTCCCAGCTCTCTGCTCTGTATATCAGCACACAGGCACTCTTGAGAGCTGCAGATCAATGCGTCCGTGCCAGGCACAAAAACTTCTCACCCAGGCACAAAGGTGCTCATCTTAGGAAAGAACAAAGTAGGTACAAGGGAGAAATACTGGAGTCCAGGCAAGGAAACCTCCGCCTTGGGCTCTATCCTTTAGCTTAGTTTCCCCAAGGAAATTAGACCTTGGAAAGTTGAACCAGGAGCTTGGAGACAACATTCAGTTCTCCCAGCCATGGCCCACGCAAGACCCTTCCAGCAGGGCCATCTCCCGACGGGAGCTGCTCACGAGTGTTTCCCACAACCTCAGCACAGCATGTAGGAACAAGGGCCTTGTCAACCCAGGATTGTGTCTTCCTCTCTTTACAGCCTAAGTAGCAAACATTTGGGCCGGGTGGTGGCTCACGCCTGATCTCAGCACTTTGGGAGGTCGAGGCGGGTGGATCATGAGGTCATGAGTTGGAGACCAGCCTGGCCAACATGGTGAAACCCCATCTCTACTAGAAATACAAAAAATTAGCTGGGCACGGTGGTGCGCACCTGTAGTCCCAGCTGCTCAGGAGCCTGAGGCAGGAGAATCCCTTGAACCCGGGAAGGAGGCAGAGGTTGCAGTGAGCCGAGAGCATGCCACTGCCACTGTACTTCAGCCTGGGTGACAGAGCAAGACTTCATCTCAAAAAAAAACCAAAAAAGCAAACATTTGAATCCCCCCCCCCACCTACATCCCTGGGCCCTACCTTCTGAAAAATGTTCAGCTTTGCCAATGATTTCTGTTAAGCAAAGTGGGGCTGCCAGGGTTTCTGATGTGTACAGGTGGAATCAACTCCAGTGAAGAAGAAACCTTATCTTCCAGGCTGGCCATGCGCGGAGGCTGCGTAACTGGAGAGAAGGGGCCTGGCTTCAGGAGTCAGGACAGTCTGGGACTGATGCCAGCTTCCTCCTCCCTGCCCAGGATGGTATCTTTAAAGCCTGGAACCTTGCCATCTCCATCTGTGAAATGGGAACAGCACTTTCCTCCCGGCGGGGCCACTGAGACCCATATGCTTAGAGCTGGGCACATCAGGGCCTGAGCCCACGGTATTCCTATCTCAGCCTTTTATTTGTAATTAAGGTGGCATTCACATAACATCAAATTCACTGTTCTAAAGTAAGCACATCAGTGTGGCATGTAGGACGATCACAATGTTGTCCCACTGTCACCTCTCAGTTCAAAACATTATCATTACCCCCAGTGGGGACCTCACACCCATTAGGCAGCCACTCCCAATCCCCACCCGCCCCCCAGCCTCTGGCAACCACTAATCTACTTTCTGACTCAATTTGCCTATTCTGGGCATTTCTTTCTTTTTTTTTTTTTTTTGAAGTTACATGAAATCCAAATTTCTTTTTTTTTTAATTGCATTTTAGGTTCTGGGGTACATGTGAAGAACATGCAAGATTGTTGCATAGGTACACACATGGCAGTGTGATTTGCTGCCTTCCTCCCCTTCACCTATATCTGGCATTTCTCCCCCTGCTATCTCTCCCCAACTCCCCACCACCCGCTGTCCCTCCCCTAT